AAAAAAGAGAGAGATGGGAGCACAGCCTGGACTCTTCCGGGATTCCCTACTTACAGGGTGTTGTGAGTTCCTGTGAGGCAAGACAACCGCCACCTGGGCAGAGAGTGCAGAAGGGAATGGCGTGCAGGGGCTGAGCGATGGCTGAGGTTTGCCCAGGTGCAGGAGAAAGAACAGATCGAGCAAGAGAAGCTGGATTCTCCGAAGCCCTAAGAGTAAAATCGCACGTCAGAAGCGGAGGCAATCGGATGATCAGGAAGACAAAATCTACCTCTACCATCATGAGATACACCGGTCCTGTTATTTCCTGTGTTCTCTAAGGCTTTGACATCTTCGAGACCGCCCCTCGCCGGGGCAGTCAACTCCCTCTCCCTGCCCCTCAGCCTGTTCCTTAAAGTATATCCAGGGATCCAGGGACAATCAGAACATGGGCCACCAGCCGTTCCCTTCAGCAAATGGGGGAAAAGGACTTTGTGTCTTCACAGAGAGGGCCAGTTGCCTGCCTGTTGGGAAGAGAACCCCATTCTGTCTACAGGGCATACCCTGCTTTTGCAGAAACTTGGTTCTTGAACTTCTCCTTTCAGTGGTCTGCTACCCTAAGGCACTAGCTTCTGATCCTGGTGAAAGGAGGCAGGATCCCCCCGGCGGGCCCAGAGCTTCACTTCCCCTGTCAATTCCCGCTTGAATGTGTCGTCTTACAGTTCTGGACATTACAAGGCCGGAATCAGGGTCAGTGTAGCATTGCATCCTTCCCGGGACTCCAGGATACATTATGCAAGTCTGTCCTTCCCTTTCTAGCTTCCGAGTCCGCCTGCACTGCTTGGTCCTTCCTTCTCCCATCTCCCAGCCAGCAGCCTTTCTCTTTCTTACAAGAACCTTTTATTTATGTTTTGTTTTGTTTTTTCAGTCATTGCAGATTGAAAGTAAAGCCTTCCCACTATGCTACACTCTCAGCCCTTTGTGTTTATTTACTTATTTATTTGTTTTATTTTGAGGCAGGTTCTATGTTGCCCAGGCTGGGTTTGGAATTCCAATCCTCCTGCCTCAGCCTTCCAGAGTTCTGGATAAGAATGCTTTTTGGGGCCTGGGATTTAGCTTAGTGGTTCTGCCACCTGCCTCACAAGTCCAAAGACCCGAGTTTGACCCCCGGTACCAAAAAATACAAAAAGAATGCTTTTTGATGGCACTTGGTTCACCTGAAAGCCCAGGATTATCTCTCCAGCTCACGATCCTTAACTTATTCCCATCGACAGGGTCTCTTGGGCCATGTAAAAGAAAGTTCAAGTTCATGTGTATCCAGGGTTGGGATGTGGCCCTCCTTGGAGGCCGCTGATCTGCCTATCACACGGGGCCTCGTGACTTATTACCGGTGGAGCCAGGAATGGAACCCAAGACTTTGGACCCCAAGATGCATCTGGCTACTGCTGTGCCCCAGCCTGGTTGCTTCGTGGGAGTGGCTGTCCAGGGACAAGGCTGACGCTTCTCTGCCCACACAGCTGGCGGAGTTAAAGGATGTCACACTGGACCCTGTGTCCTCCCACCCTGCCGCTGACTCACCGAGGAAGTGGGACAGTGGATTTAGCTAGGTCGGCCTTAGCTACTCACTTCAAAGAGGATGAAAACCTTTCTTCCAGAGGTGTTTGGGCATTTAACATTGATAGAAAATGCCATGTTCTTTTCAGAGGAGAAAGCCCTGAAGAAAAAAAGGTAATCATGTAATTACCTTTATTTAATCACCCTGAGCATTTAACCACATCAGCCCTTCCTAAGAATCAAGATGTAGAAGTGATATTGTATAACAGGACAAAAGATCTGAAGGAGTAGGGGAAGTGGGAGGGGTAGGGGAAAGCTAAGAAGGAAAAAAAAAATCAGAAAAGTGAAAGGAGAAACAACAACAGAAAGCTTGTGGTGGCCGTTTCTAAGAGACTTGCCTCAGTTCAGGGCTTACTAGACCACCTTGCAAGGAAAACAACAACATCCTTGCCTGACAGAAGAAGAAACCAAGTTATGGGGGCGTTGGGGAGAAAGTTGCCGGTCATTTGCCCAGAGTCGGCAAGCACAGGTGTCACAACTTGGATTTAAACATCCGCGATGGCAGACCCCAGCTTGGCCTCTGTTTGACTTGCTCGGTAGCCCCCTGGAAACCAGACACACACAGTTGGGTCTGAATATAAAAGGCGGGAACTGAAACATCAGAACACCCCAGATCCCTCCTGAACGGGAGCGGAGCCTGCCCGGAGCTAGGGGGCTTCTGCACCTGCTTCTGAAGTGCCTGGATCCCACCCCTGAGGCTGGCCACACCCGCCCAGCTCGCTCCTCACCCCTCCAGGACACGACACAGGTCTGGCCTTAGCAGCTGCCGCTTCGGCCTCCCCTGACCTTTCACTGCTTCCCCGACCCTCTGTGCTTGAGCCCGAGTTCCCAGGTGTATGGACTGTGGCATCGGATTTCTGTCGATTTGGGTGACCCGTAAAGTTTGACGCTGTCTATTTCCTTTTCCTTTCTGTAATAAGGGATGAGGAGACCGAGGAAAGAGGTAAAGGAAGCTGTGAGTAGGCTGTGCCACCGACGCTGCTGAGACCGTAGGTGCCTGGATGAAAGCACAGAGCAGAGTCAGACCTTCGCTCTGCCTGGTGACTGGGCCCAGACAGAGGGCTCGGGGAAGTCACCGCAGTGTAGCCCAAGGCCTTAGGCAAAGCTGCATCCTAGGAGAGGAGCAGGGAATCCTCAGGGAAGCGTCTGTTCTGAGTGTGTTGCTTAGGAGGGGAAGGCAGCAGATGGCTCCACTTGAGCTCCGGGTTTCTTCTGCCTCTTTGGTCTCTCTGGAGAGATGCTGGGGAGGAAGGGTTGCATTGGGGGCCCACCCAGGTACAGCAGGATGATCTCCACATTGCAAGCTACTGGCTCCTTTGTACTCGCCAAGGCCCCTTTGCCATGGAAGGTTGCATGCTCACAGATTTTGAGGATTAGAAGTGAGTGGCTCTGGGAAGTGAGGGTAGCGTCAGAGGTAACGTAGGACTTGTTTTCTTCTGTGTCTAAACCAGGTAAGCTTCCTTACCTGGTCACAGGGCCCTAAGGTGTCCGTGGCTTGGTCTTTATGTCATCTGTGATGCTTTTTAAAACATGGCAGAGAGGAGCCTGTGTAAGTCTGAAGATGCCTCTTCCTAGGTGGCAGATGCTCCCGGAAAAGGAGGTGGCTCTGCTGTGGCTGCCAAGTGGGAACTGCCAGGCTGGGAAGCACTGGGCTGTCCTCTCCCTTGGGTAGCACAAAGCTCCCCAAACTGTTGATTCCCACAGAGCTTGAAAGCCCATGTGCAAGCCCTTGTAGTACCATCCCGCACAAGGTGGCACCTTCTTGATGTAGGGAACGAAGAGCCTCCCTTCAGCTACAGAGCATTCCCAGCACCCGGCCGGAAACCCCTCTGGACCCTAACTCCATCTCTCGCCATCTCCAGACTCTGCATTTCTAATTCCGTGAGGGCACAGATTCTTCATCACCACAGCTGGGGGACCCTGCTGGTACCACCGGGGAAAGGCGAACAGCAGGACCTCCCAGAACCGCAGGCGCAGCCTTCCTCCCCGTGCGAGCACAGTCGGCTCCACGTGCCAGCGTCCTTCATCCTGCCAGCCACGGCACGGAGTCATCGGGAGCACCAGTTCGTGCCAAAGAACACCACGCTGTGGGCGGCCACAAAGTGCCGATGTCAAGAGCGGATGCGGTTCCTTGAGTGAACCTTAGCGCCGGTGTGAACGGGACGCCCTTCTCTGCGCCAGCGTCCCGTCCGCGCAAGCCAGCCACTGGCGACAGTCAGCTCGTGCCCCTCCTTGGAGAAACTGAGAGCCGAGACACGCACCGGACTCTCTGAGAGACACAATTACATCAATAAGGGGAGTGAAGGTTAAGCTGTATTTATTTTAGGGTGGCTTTTAATTTAGTTTAATCAGAATTACTCATAAATTATGGATTAATTACTATCTGGTGCTCAGTTAAATCCCCTCAGCCGTGGAGCCAACGCCTGTGCAGTGAATGCCATCCACTGTGATTGTAGGGCACTTCGTCAACATTTAATCAGCGATGCTTATTAACGTGGCATTGATGTGTGGCTGCCGTCCCCGCAGCGTCAATCACGCGAGACCAGCCGTCGCTGGGACCCCGTTGCTCTCTGTCACATCAGCCAGCCCCCAGGCTCGCAGCCCGGCGGTGCTCACGGGTCACGAAGCGGACACTGTCTCCTCTGCGCGCCCCACGTACACACTCAGCCTTTGGGACAGGGGTCTGGAAGGGCTTCCGGGGCATTACCTGACGCCAGGTTCTGGAAGATCTCTTCCCGCACCGTTTCCACACCCTGCCCAGTGAGTGGGAAATTCCAGGAGGCTTATCCACTAGTAATCATGTGCACGCGTGTGTGTGTGCACACGCACGTGTGCAAGACAGTCTTTTTTAATTATTTCGTGGTGCTGGGTATCAAATGCAGGGCCTCACATGTGCCGGACAAATGCTCTACCACTGAGCCGCGCCTCCAGTCCTTTAAATTCTTAACTATGGCAAAACAGGTGATCTTTGATTTATTGAATATTTTAGAAATTAATATGTTGCTCACAGCTTTACTGGCAGAAATTTGGGTTGGGAAAAGAGGTGTCACGGTTTCCTCTCTCTTTTCAGCCTCTACGGCAGACACATGCAGGCAAACCCAGAGCCCCCGAAGAAGAATAATGACAAATCGAAAAAGATCAGCAGGAAGCCTCTTGCAGCCAAGAACAAATGAGGGTCCGGCGCGCACTGGGTTTCTGGACTCTTCTCGGACTCACTCCACTAACCTCTCTCGCTCTTTCTCACGAATAAATACAGTGGTATTGTATGGCTTTTTAAAAAAACATTTCTTTTCACTCCCTCTGTCTAGTTCTTACTGCTTTACCTTTGAAGTTCTTTTGGTAGGTGGTAGATTTTTATATGGTGTTAAAACCATTTCCATTTGTTTCCCTAAAATTGCCAAGGGCAGAAAACAGTTCTAGTTCAACTGCAAATTCCACAGTAGGCAGGGGTTTCGGTCCCTTGAATAGACATCACGAGGCTGCTTATTATCCAGGGAATAATTGAAGTCATGTAACCACTTCAATGTCACAGTTAACACTTTTCATCCTTTCTGTTTATTCACACAACTCATTATTTTGCCTTATTAAAAGTCTTCCTTCACTGCCGAGCCGTTACGTTCACTTAGCTTACAAATGATTTTAATGAAATCTTGAATGTGTATCATATCACATGATGCTTTTTGATGAGAATAAAGTATAATCAGATTTTAGGGTGTACACATTTTTGTTTACCGTCCCCCTGAAAAAAAAATTTACCTTCTCCAGTTTTACTGGTTGCAGATGAGAAACTCAAACTTTCTGTGAAACAAATTCAAAATTACAGTTCGTTTTTTCTCACATCAATTTGTCAGGGTTTTTTCTTTCTTTCTTTCTTTCTTTGAAGACTGTTTCTAAAATTAGGAAGCTTCAGAAAAACAAATCTCTAGGAGGTTCTGCCAGAGGATTTTGGAAAGCAGCATTCCTTCGTTGAAGAAATGGCAACTTCTGCCAGTGGCTGGTGGACGAGAGCTGTGAAACGGAGGGAGGAAAAACCCAAGTATGTGTTTTTGTCACTGCAGAAAATCTGCTCATGCTAAAGCGTTCCTCCAAGAGACTTTGCTGCCAAAGAAGTTGTGTCAGCGTGCACGGTCTGCACCACGCCCTGTGTGGAAACTGCCTTGGCAGAGTCATTAAACAACCAATTATTTCACATCTGTGATAGGCAGCTTTGCTTCTCACCCACCGACTGTAGCATTGTGCTAGGAGGGTTACCAACTCCCCACCTCCCAACCAAAGGTGTGCAGAGAGGAGGCTCAGCCCGATGGAGCCTGCTGGAGCCTGCCTGACGGGACTGACCTCTCTCTCCTGGGATGTCTTGCCTTTTCTCACAAAGGTTCCCAGCACCAAGACCACTGGGACCCAGAGAAGCCAGAATCAAAACAAAACAAAAAATCTTGAATTCGTTAGCATGTGGGCTTTCCATTTCAAAGGCCTTTGCCTTTCTGTTTCTGCCTCTGGATGACTTCTATCAGTTACCAAGAATTAGCTTTGGGAGGAGAAATCCTGAGGTGCCCTCACCTATTTGGGGGTAGAGCTGATACAATTTTCAGAGATGTAATACTCTGCCTCTTACCTAACTTTTTAAAATTCATCTAAGAGCTTGTGGAATCACAGGAGGAACAACAGTGGCTCCAGTATGGTTGACTGGAAAGGTTTAACTACAGTTAGCAGTAAAGCACTAGTAAAATCGCAATATTACAGTCTTACTGAGTAAGTTTTTTCTGCAGCATCCCAGGTAGCAATATGGGTAGTACGTTTAAATTCATAAGGAAGAGATCTGGCAAGAAACTGGAAAAATGTAAGATTTCATCCAGGAAACAACCTTTAAAAGTAATGACTGGGGGCCGGGGATTTAGCTCAGTGGTTCGGTGGCCTGCCTTGCAAGCTCTCAAGCACCCAAGTTAAATCACTGGAAAAACCCACCACAAAAAAAAAAAAAAAAAAAAGTCAGAATGTAAGCAGGGTGTGTTGCTGAGAAATGTGCAGATATTTCTTAGGGCAGGATTAAGTGTTACAGGAGTAATGTGCGATAAACATTCTCGAACACAGCTGCGAGGAATATCAATTTCTCTCCTACAAGGTGGTAGCAGTTTGACAGTGTGGAGCCAGACCTTAAAATGGTGCCCTTGGATCCAGAACTTTCATCTGTAAGACGTGGTCCTAACACACAGCACTGTGAGAGAATTGTCTTTATAACAGGAGGCACACAGTGAGAATGGGGAAAAGCTGGCTGCCCACCAGTGAAAGAGTGTTCCGGTGAACTGTGGCTTATAATCCACCCAACATTAAATATTGTTTAACCATCTGAGGGCAAAGGGAAATAATGGTATCTGGTTAAGTAGAGAAAAAGATTTCAAAAACTACATCACAAGGGCCCAGTTGTGTGAAAGGATATTGTGTTTATGTAAACATAAAAATAGTAAATGGAAATGAAACCATTTTAAGGCTGATGAATTATCTTCACATTGGAAACTGAGTTTTAAAATCGTCTTTTTATGCATATTCTATGCTTTAAATTCTCTAATGAACATGTACACTTTTGTAATCAGAAACATTAAGTACACGTTTTTTAAAACAAATTTAGTATATTGTATATTATATTATTCAGAAAATAAGATCATATACTGAAATGCAAAGCATAATATATTCAGTTGATTTTTTTCTTTTGTTATTAAAATAGGTTTTCCACAACTTTTTGTACAGTGGTTTCGGGTTGCTTTTACCTAGATTAACAAAAAAAACTCGTAGCTTAAAAGGTAGTCTTATAACAAACATAATGTGACCATTTTAGCACTGCCCCAAAATCACTTGTGCCGGCCACTGTGCTAGTCAGCTTCCCATTACCGTGACAGAGTAACTGAGGAAAACCCAGAGGAGGAAAAGCTTACTTGGCTCACAGTAGGGAACGTTTTAGCCTTGTTACTTCGGGCCTGCAGTGGCTCCATGTGTCATGAGGGGACCCCATGTCAGAAGAGGCCAGCTCACCTTATGTGGCCCAGAAGCAGGAAGAGACAGGAAGGGCTGGGGATTTAGCTCTGTGGTTCCGCCACCTGCCTAGCAAGTACAAGGGCCTGATTTCGATCCCCGGTACCAAATAAAAAAGAAAAAAAGAAGGAAGGCGCCATGGTCCCAATATCCACTACACCGACACACCCCCAATGACCTAACTTGGTCCCACGAGGCTCCACCTCCTAAAGGTTCCAGCGCCACCCCAAAGCACCACAACCTGCGGACAGCCTCCAACCTGTGGGCCAGTGGGGACATTGAAGATCCGAACTACCGAGTGCCCTCTGGGGCTGAGAGCCTGTGTGGGAATCCCGGGGGTACTTTATTTCTTGACGGGGACATCTTTCCCAGGGTTTCTGTTTTTTATGTGAAGCACTGGCCTTGCCCACATGGCGAAGTGTCAGACATGGTGTGCAGAACACTTCACGTGCATAATTGCATTTGTTCTTTGCGACAATCTGTGAGGGAGGTAGAGTTGTTAGTAAATAGTGGTTCTGATATCTAACAGAGAAGCATTTACTAGAAGTTATATGTTCTATTTACCATGAGTACTGATTCCGTTTTGTTTTTAATAGAAGAAAAAATAGGGAGAGACATAGTTAAAGATGTTTTACGTTTCCATGTTTTCTTCCTACAAGATTGTTCGGAGATTTACCGACTTAATGTAAATTTTGCATCTCTGAGGAGGTGCTGTGGTATACAGGGCTATTTGATCACAGAACCATCCACTCTCCAAGAGACACATGGCCTTTGTGACCTGCAGAGCTCACATTAGGAAGCTAGGATCAAGCAGCTGGCCTAGGGTCACACCAGCTTCACTCACTGGACCTGAAGCTACTCGGACACCACTTAGCAAAGGTGAATCCTCATTTTCATAAGTTGGAATATATTACAGGATGGAAATCAGATGAACTCAGAAAGAACTGGGTTGTCTCAATTGCCATGTCAATATTAATTATGAAAACTGAAGAATAGAAATGGGCTATTTTTATACTTACATGATGTACTTAATACTTTTCTTGTGTTAATTTTCTAACCTTCATAATCACAATTCTCCTTCTGTGTCTGGCAGAAAATCCACTTAAACTGTACTTTGAAAATACAAGGAGAACTGAAGACCTTCACCCTCTACTACCCTGGCTCAGGTCACTCTGATGTCACCTGGATTATTGAAATGCCCTCCAGCGGGGCACCCACCTTCTGTCTTGCTCTCTTACCGTCTGCTCAACAGAATGAGCCTGTAAAGCTGGCATCAGATTAGGATTAGAATTTCCTCCCAACCAAACCCTGACCTGCCCAAAGAACAGTTCCTCTTAAAATGGTGGGGAGTGGCTTCAGGTTCCATTTCCGGCAGTCTGGGCTTGGTGTGATGGATGACTTAAGACTGTTTTTGATAGTTCAGCCAGACGTGGAGAGACCTTCTCTTGTCCATCCTAGTATCATCATCTAGAACATAGTCCCTGAAACATGTTAGAAATGGAAAGGTCACATCTTATCATGGGGTGTTTAGAGGCTTGCTGAAGAGCCAGAGACTACCTCTAATAGATATACAGACCCCAGTATTTGGGAATGAGTCAAAAATTAAAGATAAGAATGAAATCCTGAGCCGCACATGGTGACGCACACCTATAATCCCAGCACTCAGGAGGCTGAAGCAGGAGGATCTCTGTGAGTTCAAGACCAGCCTGGGTTGCATAGTGAGTTCTAGGTCAGTCTCAACTACATAGTGAGACCCTGTCAAAAAAAAAAAAAAAAAAAAGAATGAAATCCTATCAGAAAAATCTTAAAATTTGAATTGCTCCTCACCAACCACCGAGGGTGTTAGGGTTTAGATCAAGAATTCCCCCCAAAGACCTCACACACCCACGTATGGGGCTTTTGGAAGATGACTGAACCACGGAGTGGCATAGCTGACTTGCTGTAGGGACCTGAAAGGCTCTATCTCCCTTCCCAGCCCCTCCCTTTTCCCTCTACTTCTTGGCCTCAGTGACGAGAGCAGCTCTGCTCCGCCCAGACCCTTCCACCATGCCATTTCTGTTTAACCCTGCTGAACATGGACTAAAACGGAGCCAAAATAAACCTCGCCTCCTAAATTGCAGGTGGCAAGTGTTTTGTTCCAGCAACAAGAAAATGACTAAGACACAGGAAATGGGTTGACTCTTCATAGGAGCACTGAGCAAAGCCATCGGTTACGTAGCTAAGAGTACTTACTGCTCTGAGGTTGAGCACTACATGTACAACCACACCCAGCCCACAGAGCATCCCAGTTTCAAAGCTCAGGACCAACTTTGTCTCTGGAGGCAAACTGTTCTGGATGCATGTGCTTCCCAGAACACTAAAATTGGCACTTTCCATATACAGGTGTTGTCAGCACGAAGAATTCAGTCCTATTCCCAGGAGCAATGCAGTCCCAGTGACTAACAGCCGAAAGTAGGAGAAGAACCACAATCCATTCATAACTCCTCCGGAGTATCACCCAAAATATGCCTGCCACACCAGGCGACAGTCCCCGCTGCTTGTGTGGGCTGCTTGCTCTATTTTCATTTTAACAAAGAACCACTTTAGTTATGCACAATGCAGAAGCGAGACCGAGGTTTTTGTTAAGGAAGCCTCCGTTGGAAAATCACTTTTACTTTTAGATCGGAGACTGTCTAACCACGTAGCAACTCCAGTGTGTGGTAGAACTTTGTTAGGACCATTGGTTAGGATGGGTAGATGAAGAGATTTCAGCAAAAAGCAGTACAAGTGATAT